TTTGGCAAGCGCTAGCATATTAGTATGAGTAATGGCAATGATTTGAATAACCGATGCGTTTCGCAAGTAAAAGTTAAAAAGGTTTACACATATAAATTGTCTGAACACCTGTCACGCGTGAAACTTCCTTCGCGGATACGGGCAACCCCCGTGAAACCGACCCCCGTTTTTCTTGCCCGCGTTCGTGAACGGGTTCGAACGTCGCCGTTCGACACTCGTTACGCCCGTTCGTAACGCGTTTTAATAAGGCGACGCGGGACGAACGGCAAATATACACGCGGCACGGTGCACCTGCGCTCGATTGTAGTCGTAGTCACCACTTAAGCGGTTAGCGTTGCCTGCCGGCAGCTCGTAAAACGGGTGAACCCCGGAGGTCTAGACCAGCCCTGGACTAGACCAACGAGACGACGACGCATCCGAAATAACCCTCTATATTCTATTTCGAGGCCGACATGCCGCGCGATACAGTTTCTCGTGTCAGTGGAATACGGCAATGATTCCTCCGCTGGCCCGTTTTCATCCATAGCGACCATTGTATATGCGTCAATTAATTTTCCCCGTTCTACAACTTTTCCAAATCGTACGGACTGTTTACGACGATCATCATTGCGGGACAATCGTAATTTCACCGTTTTACGAGTATCCCGCGGCACGGGTAAGTTTAAACTCGAACGGCTTCGGTCTTGCAAAATCAAAACTACGGCTCCAAGTTAATTTCAACTTCTAATTGAATATTAAATTATGAAGTAGCGGGAATCTACGTTTCTTATTATGGATAAATCTGTCATGTAATCTCCTTAACCTTCGTTACGTCCACAACTGATATTGTGACTGTCATACAATTTCAACTAAGTGTATGAAATTGCCAATAGTATTAGAAATTATTTTGATTACATGCAGTTCCTTAAAGTTCCTTTCATATTAATCTGATTCTCCGACACCGCGATCATCGCCTGGCTCCGTCGCTCGCGAACATCCAATAAGTAGCCGCGCGGTTGCTCTTCTCGCCGGCGTCAGAGCACGCGTGACTCACGTCTCCGCGACGTCTCCTCGGCCTCGACAAGTGTCGCCGCCACTCGGGGATCTCGGGAACCGAGTACCTAGGGGGATCCCCCTTCCACTGGTCGCACCGCGATCACTGGAGGGGGTCGGAAGCGGTCGGGGAAGGGAGCCGCAGGGGAAACGAGTCATGGCAAAACTTTTGTCCATTCACGGTCGACACGCTCCTAATTGGGAGTACGCTTCGTGGTCTCGTTCCACGCGCACGGCCTGCTCCGTGGAAACACGACTGGACGCGGCTGTCTCTCCTCTCCGAATTTTCTGTCGCTCGAACGCCTCGCATCCTCCCCGCGGACAACTAATAATTGGCGTCCAAGCGATTTTTTCAAGGGCCACTCGGTCGGAATCACGACTCGCGCAAGCGAGCAACGGGAAGATGGAATGGGGGAAACGCGGGGGGGAGGGAGGTACGGTTTCGTTAAAAATCGGCAAACGTCCGACGTGACCTCGCTTTCGGCTGCCGACGTAAATCAACCCTCGCAAGACGGGCGGTATTTTCGCTTGACTGACGAACGACCGACGAGGAATTTCTTAACGACCGCGTCGATTTCGGAATCGTCGCTGAATCGACTCTGCACCAATTTCCAACCTACGCGGTCTCCAGTTTCGTAGACCGTCGAGAAATACGCGACGTCTGATTTAACAACGAATTTGGAAAATGTCCTACGAGGCGAGGTGAGTGATCGATAGAAATGTCGATCGACAAGATCGGTAATCGGACGTGACCGAATACGGTAACCGTAACGAGCTGCAGTTTCGCTTTGTTTGGCTCTGGAGCGAACAAAAAGTTACGTTTACTCCACTGCATGCAGCGTGTATACTGTACAATGCGAGAAGTATCGAATTAAATTCAATTCTGTCAGATTAGATGTACAATAACTCTTCTCCCTAATGAGTGTGTGCTAATTTATGGAAAACCTAAATTCCTTTCAATTGTAAATGATAATGAACAATCATTCATTCGTTGTGTACGGGGTAATAATACGATGTTTTATGAATTGTAAAATAATATCCTTTGTACATTGTGTATAAAATAATGTCTTCGCCTTTTAAATTTCATTTCGTTTCATGTAACTCCACGTGAAATTAATACCATCTGAGTACGTTATTCGAGGTACAAAAGTAACTTCGCAAAAACTGGACATAATATCGAACCTTCAAAAACAATTCTGCTATAACTCGCGTGAAATTGCTATCGCATACGATTTCGTTCAACTATCCATAAAATGTGTTCACGAAATATCACTCACCTATATCTACTTCTCGCGCGCGAACGTTTTATAAATCATGCATCTGTCACTGAAGGAAGCCCGTCACTGTTCTAAGAAACTGAATATTGTCTGACTCACTCGGTTGATCGACGCGGGATGATTCGAAGCAAAAAATTTGTTCCGATCCTCGCGCGTGCCTCGTCGATCCGACGACGGGTACCTGGTCCAGGACACGCGAAACCGAGACATTCCCTGGCCATGGTTTTAATCACGAGCGATGTTGCGCCGCGCCGAAGCGGCTCGGCTTTCGGCGTTTTCACTTTCCTCCGAAACGTGTCAGCAGGTTATGCCGCTTCATCGATCCTCTCACTACGACCTTTCTGCATCGCGTCTATCGCGATTACGTCCGAACGAATTAAGCCGGGAACGGGGACGTGACGACAAGCCGGCTTGCCAATAATCGTCCCCGCGTTTCACAAACTCGTCGACGAAATTATTTTCAGGAATCCGGACAGTAAACCTCGAGGAGCAAATGATATGGTCTAAGCCTGAACGAATGGAAACCAGTCGCGATGCATTTGCCACTTTTTGGACGTTCCGATTCGAGCGTTCCGGTGTCATTAACCCATAGCCTAATCAACACACATTATTATGAAACTATGCGGCGTTAACGGTCTCGACCCGGTCAGCTCATAATCTCGTGCCGGTACACGGGACCAGTTCGCGGGTTATTAAACGGTCGTATTTTATCGAGAGTCTGTAGTCGACCGGCAACAAACGCCAGCTAAAATCGCCTCGTGTTTAACGTCAACTTTTGTGAAACACTGTTCTCAAAACATATTCTGATTTACATCATAGCAATTAGCTGCGATTTCAATGAACACATTTGTACGACTGCTATCTCGGAATATGATTTCGATACTTCTATTTCGAGTTTAGTATGCTATCATATTTTAATTATAAGTAAATTATTTATGGTTATCAACGATAGTAGAGCGTACATGTTTTGCTTTTATACGAGTGATAGCTGGTTAATTAATCTGAAGACTTGTAAATAATTATGCTGACGATGAAGTTCGATATTTATAAATAGTTTTCTATCCATGTATAGGGAAACATGAAATCTGATAATTCGATTAATCGTGGAAAGAAGCTCCCACGTTTCATATGAAATATAGAGTTTCAGGAAACAGTAGTAGAGAGACGTGCAAAGCTGTCAAGTTTAGATCGCACCTATCATGACTAGTTCGCAGGGTAAATAAATAGCTGCACTTCTACGCCTGTAGTAAAAGAAATTCCCCAGAAAACGGGTTTTGCCATAAATGCGTTTAACAGTTCTTCGAAAGAAAATCACTGGTAACGATAACTGTGGAACGAACGCGGCACTGAGTAACTGGCATTTCGTTAATTTGGCTGATAACGCTGCGGCATTTCAATCGTTTAGAAAATACCAGCCTTGTCTCGTCAAAGATATGCAAAATTTAACAAAGCCTACACAAATATCTATTATGTAATTCGATGTAATATTGAAACTACGATGTGTTTTCGTATTGGCTTATTTAAGTAAATCATCTTCGCCTTCGAGTAATAAAGACACTTTTACTATGTCAAAATGGAATTTTTTTGTACTCTCTTCAACCGAGGGACACTGGAATATAACCGTTGTTTATTTATCTTTAAACAATCCTGACTTTATCTTTATCTCCAAATTCGCAAAACTTGACCGACGTATGAAATTACTACTAACCGTTTGCCACACGTTTCATGATACGAATAGAATCAAGACTTTTCTCCAAATTTAGTTATTCCACAAAACAGGTGATTAATTTTCTCCGAAACTACTCACGAAGACGTACGTTTCTCGAACGAATCTCGATCTTTTCACTGATAAACCGTCAAAAGCAAATTGCACAAGAAAACGTTTTCTTATCAAACTGGCACTTTCCAAATCTCTACACATGGAACAACGAACGAATTTCTTTCTAGCTACGCATGTTCACGCACAAAGGAAATTGAGCCGTCAACCACTGTATGTGGGCCACTACGCCACAAGTCGGTCAAGCCATCCCCTAAATCGCTGAACTATCCTCCAAACAGCAAGTGTCGGGGAAACTTCGCCACCCTCGCACCCTCATTGAAACTCGGGGTCGGCCAAGTGGTTGGGAACCTGACCAGCAATTACCAGCCAAAAGACACACGAAACATGGTTAAATCTGTTGCGAGATCGTGGATATTCGTCACTGTAGAAGCAATTTTGTAATATTTCTCATCGAACGATTTAGCTCACTGATCATCGCACGAGACTGTCAACTCGGCCGACATGGGCCGCGAGTTTCGAGAAAAATTTCGAGCTACGTACACTTCACGTATCCAAGACAGACCCGGATCAATTGAAATTCTAACGTCCAGGGTCGAGGACAAACGATCGCGGACACTTCGAGCTCCGAGTCACCAGTCACAATCTATCGGTCTCCGTGCTCCACCGGGCCCGGAAGCTACAAGTGTCCGCGGTAACTGCGGGGACTGCGGAGCGAGAAACGGCGTTTCCCTCCGGTGGGTAGGATCGGCTCGAGCGAACACGTTCACGAGGGTGCAGAGGGTCGCGGAATATCAGTTTCCCGACACTGGCGTTGCACACGGACGCGGCACACACCCACCCACGCACGCACGTACGAGCAGAGGGAGAGAATCGGTATCACACACGAATAATCACGCGCGTAGATCACTTACCTGTTGCCAGAATTGGGCGAGCAGGTATATGCGCTCCTTCTTGAACAGCCAGTCCATGGACTGCATGGCCTGAATGTCCAGCGCGTTGGCCTCCGCAGAGGCCTGCATGCTGGCCAGTGCCGGCGTGTTCAGGCTCGCTAGAACGGGCTGCTGGAGCACGGACGCGTTGCTGCTGGCTAGCAGATTCGCGTGGTACACGGACGGTGCATCCTCCGAACCGGCAGTAGCCAGTAGCTGGGCCCCGATCGGCGCTGAAGGCCCCTGGAGGCCCAGTGACGAAGCCACTTTGACGGCTTCGAGCTTCTCCGCCGGGCCCAAAACTGTTCCCCTTGGTTTCCCGGCGCCGCCGACGCCTCCTGGGGCGCACGCCTCGGCCGGCGGGCCCGTCGCTACCGTCTCTTCCTGTTCCTTAGTCCCGGACACTGTCCCGGAACACACTGGACCCGTCACACCACACACTGGTCCCACGGTCACACGTAATCGCACGATGTCCTCCCCGAGTTCACCAAAGTCATCGACGTACGCTCCTGGCTCGTGACACCAGGTGTTCGGGCCTCGTTCAAAAACGGTCGTCAGGCTGCCCGCCGTGATACTCGCGGCGGCATCGCACCCACACTCGCGGCAGAAAAACCGACGGACGCACTACACGCGGTCACACTTCACTGGCTCCGGTTTTCCCTCGCCTCGCCTCGTCTCGTCACGGCTGACCTCAGGAAGAGAGTACGAGACCCGTCCTAGCAGGCTCCTAACCTGAAACTAAGAGCTACCGAACGACCGATGCGATGTCTGGAGGAGGCGCACGACATGGTGGGGGGAATGGGCGGTGTTTAATCGCGGTGGTGGGGGCCGACCGGCCCACCGGTCGACGAATCCTACACCGCCCGATCTCCCCACCGGTCAAAGCGGCTTTAGCGTTCAGAGGAGAGCGTCGCCGCGGTGGGGATAAGCTGCGCGGAGAAGGGAGACGCCGCGGAAAGGACCGGAGGCTGGCTAGGTGGTCCCTACCGGAGCGGATCTCATATTTTCAGCTCCCCGACCGCCCTTTTCTCCAACCCCTGCCGATCGTCGGTTCCCTTCTTCTTTCCTTCCTCTTTTTCTCCCGGTGTCTCCCTCCTCTCTGTATCTATGTTTCTTATTTTCGCCCCCTCACCCTCGTGCCCCGTCCCACGCGGCACGGTCCCCCTCGTCCCCCTTGCCCCTGCCCCCTCGCCGTCCCGGTCCCCTTCAGCCTCCATCGTCTCTCACCCTTCGACTGCCCCAACGCCCGCCCCGCAGACAGTAACCCTTCGATTGCTCGTTGGTGACTGAGCGTTGCCTTTGTTACGAGCACCGTTACGATTTTCAGACGTTCGGACGAGAAGAACGAGGTGCAATGGAGTTTTCAAGGGGTTACTGACGCCCGTGAGCGCCGGGCCTTTCCGGAAGCGCAGCCTTGCCACCGACGCGGCACTCTCCTTCTTTTTCGACCCCTTCACCACGAGATATCACGTCTCCGTTGCTTTACGATAATGCTTACCAATTGACATGATATCATAGTCAATTGCTCTAACGCAAAAAACTTACTCCTGTTAGGAAATTTAAAAGAAATGTACCAACTCGGTTTCGAGTATTGAACATATGGAAGATCTATTTTTCATTTTGATTGACAATTAGTTCCATCAGATATTTCTGAATAAAGTATTGAAATGGTAATTCGTACTTATAAATACGAATCACAGAAGTGTTTAATTAATTTTTGCTAGCTGATTGTCGAATAAGAATCTCACGGCTAATTTTTACGGAGACTGCGACGCAGTGAAGGAGCCAAGCATTTATACTTGTGTTCCCCCTCGCGTTTCTGGAGTCGAATGCAACTTTGGAGATAATAACACTCGTCGGAAATAAAGGTACGCGATTAAAGACGGAGAAATTACGTGTCCCGCTCAAGTACTCAATTTGCATTATTTATGTATCGTAAATACGGAAATGGGGTGAAAGTACACACGGGCGACAACCTACCTCTCGCGAGAATCGACTCCTCCCGAGTACCGAGCGAATCGCCCACGGTTTTTTTTAACTCTCAAAACAGAATCACACACTTGTCAGGATTGAAATTAATCTGACAATCTTCTGAAACACTTCTTATAAATATGACAGTTCATGTCTTTCGTCACTATTGTAAGTGCAATTAATATTGAAGAAAAACTATCGCAGCATACTAACTTTAACACCTAAATGATCCTTTCAATAAAAGCGCTGGAGTTCGTCATTGAAACGAAATGATAGAACGAAAAGTGTACACGTATTGTTAAGACACGGTTCAAAATTTCCAGATGTTACAAGTGTTATGGATTCGTGAAGGGTCGTGAAACAATATGGAAAATCAAGTTGGAGTGCGATGGCAGTAGTAATGTTTGAAGTTTGCCGTCGAGCAGCGACAGTGGTAGGTACCTATAGTACGTTTCGAACTTGAAGTAAATAAAGTGGGAACTGTATTATAGTCGCCGGAAGGAAAGTACCCTAACCCGGGATGGGACAATGCCACTTTTCAAGAATTTAATTAGCACATTCTAATCCTCGTAAATGCCTCCAGCTGTTAAAAATTCCCTGAAATCCAGAGTCGATTCGAAAATACGTCAACCATCATAAAAGAGATTTGAGACTACACCAAACGGTTCTGACACTTTTTTTTCGAGACGGTAACAATTATATTTAAAATGAACGATTTTCACATTACAATCATCGTCAGACTCTAGGAATGAGCGACGAGATTATTGAATAGGAAGAAGATTTAAAGAAAATCGAAAGAAGGTTCCTCGAATTATCGTCGTTCCCTCGATTGTCGTAAAGCATGAAAGACGCGCCGCTTCCGGCGAACGCGTTAATCCGCGTTACCGTGTTAAGCACACTTCGTGACAGCCGAGTTAACCGGCATCGGGGTCCTGGATAATGCAACTTTAATTTCCGCGGTGTTCGTCGCCGTTTACACGAATTAATCATCGCCGGTGGATGATAGTCGCTGTTGACGCGGAAACGAAAACAACTGTAACTCGATTCACACCACCAACGCAGCGTACTTGTTGCTGTGTCTCGCCACTGATCGACTCAACGCGTTGTTTAGAAAATTACTACGGCCGAGTATTTTTACTTCCAACGAGAAATCCACTTCGAAACCGATTTCCGAATAGACCTCGTAATTTAATCCAGAAAGGAAGAGATTGAAATAAACTTGACGAGATGTTAAAAATTCTAGGCTCAGTGCCTGGGAATTGAGGGTTTAGCGAAGAGAAAATGATTACGATCTCTCACTCGCCGTTGGTATATTTTAATGAAAATAGTTGTTCCATTAACGAGAAAAGTATGTTAATTAATGTCGTGGAAAGAGTGAAATAATCAAGCATGCATGGAACGGTTGTGTCTGGAAATGGAAAAACTGTTCGAAATGCAACTTCGTCTAGAAAAAATTATTTTACCTCTTGGTCTTATCACATGGTAATAGAAATGTCAACATCGATTCATATTATAATCAACTTAATAAATATGCATATGAAATTTCATCGATCGCGGAACGTTTTCTGCACTATTTTCAAATTGTCCCCGTTTCCGTCTAAAAACGTTCAGTGCACTGAATTTTAACCAACACGAGGATCAAAGGCAATCATCGAAAGTACAAAGCGTTTAATATCCCATATGAGAGAGTTGAAAGGTGAAGCGGTCGATTTCGAGGGACAGCATAGGGAGAAATTTTACACGACGAGTATGTAGAAGTATCAAGTAAGTATACGTGCGCCTTGTGTTCGGAGTAGAGAGAGCCTCGGCATCGGCGAAACGCGACGCGAAAATTCGTCGCAGCCGCCCACGAAAATACTACGCGGCTGTTGGCTTGTCACCGCGTGCTTTACGATCACCCGATATAACGCGGGGATTAGTTTGTCAACGCGGGCCGACCGGCGAGGCGTGCGCGTACACGCGCGGCGTGTATTCGCCATCACGCGTCTTCGCCGGGTTGCATTGTTGCCGGGAATTTTGTAACAATCCCCGCGTCGATGAACCGTTACGTCTTGGAATGAAGAGAACCGAGATTCATTCGGTAACCGAGCGAGTAAACACCAAAGAGAATCGTAAAAGAAGTTTTGCGACTGAGAACTTTTGAAATTATTTGACAATCATACGACAGAGCGCGTATAATTTTAAATTAGGAACGAGATGAAAACGTTTTACACGTCAACTGACAGAAATACTTTCATCGGTGTGTTCGATGTTTAGGAAATATTTTACCTTTTCATAAGCCGAGACACTGTCGAACAGTATTTATCGACGCTCCTCGAAGAACCATGATAACGATCTTTGCACATTGACGATGTCATCGTTTCCATACTACATTCTCCAATTACATATCTTCCAGCGGATAACGTATTTAATCAACCGTCCACGTAGGTGAGTGCGCGGGAAAATCACCGAGCCCAGCCCACCGAGCACTCAACAACCCTTCCTTACACCCCTTTATCATCAACCACCTTAACAAACCTAAACACCTACCACTCACGAGCCATCGCCCTTAACATCATCATCATCCACTGTTGGAAACGTACGAGCCTCTTGATTTACGTGACGTGAAAAAAATTCGTTTACACTTGGCGCGAGCTCCAGGTGTCCCGCGGATTGGGGTGGTCGGCTCGCGAGTAAAAAGAAAGACGGAGCCATGGAAATGGCGATGGTGACGGGTTCGCCGGTGGAATTTCGCTGGTCGCAGCAACGGGACTCGTTTTCTCCGAGCGGTCGCACGCTACTCAATATACCCCGGCGACGATAAACGGCAGCCCCTGTATCCCCTCGCATCGCGACACCCGTTCGGGAAGCAACGCGACGCTGTTCGAGAGCGATTGTAACAATATCTTTCGACCAGCGAAGGATGCGCGCTGCGCAGCTAAGTTCAAGAGCCGCATTCAGGGACATCGCAGGACCGCGGATCTTTTTTCACGCTGGATAAGACGAAAGAATGATATAGACACGCGGGGTTGCTGCACGCGTAACAAGGTTTCCGTTGTGGGATCTTTTCGACTCGTCAGAAGAAAGCAGATTCGCCTGTTGAAGATCATAACACTTCGATGTGAATTGTAATCCATGAAGAACTTCGAAGAAATTTGGTAATCTTGAGGAGTAGATTTTGTTAAAAAAACTCTGAACCATTTTAATTCAGCTCTGACTTTGAGACGATGTTAATAAATTCAATATAACAACGATGTCGATTAATCTTAAATTTTCAGATGTCATGTGTCTAACGAACATTCCAAGTCCACTGTTCTGGAAATTATTTTGAAGAAACGATACTATACGAAATTTAAGAGCTTGCCTTTTTAGGCAAATCTGTTCAACGAATTACTTTGAGAAGACATCTCGAAAAATTTCGTATTTTGGATAAAGTACCACTTATAACATTGACAATATACACTTTTTTTGCACAAGTTCCATCTGGAACGTTGTAAGTGACTCGACGAATGACACTGGTATACACGAATCTTCTTCCAGCTACGAATTTCCAATCTCGAAAAATGTCAAAACAGTTTTTCAGATCATAAAACCAACATCGTATTCAATTAAAAATCATTTTCAAATATAACGCGCTTTTCCCTCTAATCGAAACGTTTCACCCACTAATTAAAAATTGTCCAACTGTCACGACGAAATTTCTATTTCCAGAAATGTATATCTCAACACGGAGATCAATCTAGACGATCGCACCAGTTAAAACTCGTAAAAAGGAATTCGTGAACGAAATCACTCGAACAAGAATTTTTCTATCAACGAACGACACCAGAGACTGGACTTGGAAGAAAACGACAGAACGAACGAGGTGTGCTATTTTCAGGTACAATTGCTGGTTCGCACTTTCTTGGGACTTGTAATCAGTTCTCGGCCGTAGTTTGATGCCCGTCGAGAAACGCCGGCTAGATTCTAGCAGTCAGCTAGGTGCTATCACTCGGTTCTCGGGTTCTCCGTGTTCCTTTTTCTCTCTCGCGGTCCGAGTTGGTTGACCGGTCGAGATAGAGCCGACCGCGCGACGATCAGGAATCCGTCAGATGGTCACGTTCGAGCCGGTCGCGTTTCGGTTTTCAGATAATCCGGATGCAAGGCTGCACGTGCGTGCGCGTGAACTCGACGAGGATGCCCCGCGGACTGCGGAACGGGATCAAAGGGCTACCAATGATTCTCCAATTGCCTCCCGCGGAAGAAAACAGGCGAACCCGAAATAAATTCGATTCTCTCCAGAAATTGCGAGGGGGAAACACAGTCACAACACAATAACGATGCACAAATAATCACCTGTTCACTCTCAGCGATCTGTTCGTTGCATGCGAAACTCGCGATCGCGGCTAACAAGGGGTGGGGAAGCTGTCCGAACCCTCGGTTAACTTAGTACACGCACTGTACGCGGCTCCAGTGCGTGCACGTAGATCCTACTGGGCCTGTGTTCTGGCCGAGACTAACTCGAACGCTCGGCTCCTGCAGCCCTCGCAGTCATCCCTCCAGCCACGCACTTTTCCACCCCGGCGAAACTATTGTCCCCGTACACATCGCTCGTAGACTTGCACCGATCGTCAAGACCGCTCGTTTTTCGCGGTGACGAGCGTATACGTTGGACGAACCGTCATCGAGCTCGACCATCGACAACGTGTCGCATCGCGACGCGCCAAAGTAAGCGTCTTAAGTGGCTTGCCAGACTGTCGGGCTTGGACAAAAGTTACTCGGCACGGCGCCAAGGGACGTCCGTCGCGCATACTGTACGGTGGCGCCGCGGCGCGGTCTCACGATTAAACGCGCCGCAGGAACGCAAGGGTGGTCACCCCCACTGCTGATCGACACCCCTTCCAGCGCCGGCCACGAGGATACGATGCGCTGTATCAGGTATCGGAAATATTGGTGACTTCAACGGCCCTGATCGGAAAGAAGGGTTGCGCTCGTTCGGGCTTCTACTATAAACGAGCTCACCGCCTGCGTGGATAGACTGATCTGATTTGTCGCGTTGTTTTCACTTTTGACAGGGAACGGGTAGGACACCGCGGAGGAGTGGATTAGAATTACGGAAGTTTGAGGATGCTACGTGCCGGTTGAAGCGAGGACGATTTTAACCCTTCGCTCGTAGATGATGCTGGGTCATTTCGACCCGCATTGTGTCACGTAGATTGATTTTTATCGTCCATGTGTAAACAATGGCATTTCCAAGGCGTCGCTATTTTAGAGTCTACACGTCGTACGCGATTTATAAAGCTTTATCGCTATGCACTTTTGATGCTCATGATACTTCTGCTTAAAAGGCATCAAATTTTTCGTGTTGAAAACATAGATCACTTACGCAAAATTATTCGTCATCCAAAATAACTGCTTTCGTGAAATAGGACTTTAAGAACAAGTAGACATAGTTCTTCATTATGGAATTTTTTTCACTCTGTCGAAGGTAGAACTTTTAGACAACTTAGGTAACTTATAAGGAATTTTCGTAGTACAATTTCTTGTTATTCTGTACCTCATCGGGGTAAACTTTCCATGGGATGAAAGTACTAGATCGGATCTTTTTATTTTGGAGATCTTTATGCATTTCCATTTGTCTTGAATGCCATTGAAGATCACATATACAATTCTGCCTGGATTATATGGTACTTATAAATTATGATCCGAAACGAATTCGAATTCCGCAACGCCATTTGCAGGATTATGGGAATAGTAATAACAATAATAATAACGTTAAATGTTATGATAACAGTAATCATTAATATCTGTAGATTACATCTCCTGCAAAATATATACTCATTTCCTTTATTTGCTTATAAACAAAATTAATTATTTTTCAGAAATTGCTAACCTTCGCTCGTAGATGATGCTGGGTCATTTCGACCCGCATTGTGTCACGTAGATTGATTTTTATCGTCCATGTGTAAACAATGGCATTTCCAAGGCGTCGCTATTTTAGAGTCTACACGTCGTACGCGATTTATAAAGCTTTATCGCTATGCACTTTTGATGCTCATGATACTTCTGCTTAAAAGGCATCAAATTTTTCGTGTTGAAAACATAGATCACTTACGCAAAATTATTCGTCATCCAAAATAACTGCTTTCGTGAAATAGGACTTTAAGAACAAGTAGACATAGTTCTTCATTATGGAATTTTTTTCACTCTGTCGAAGGTAGAACTTTTAGACAACTTAGGTAACTTATAAGGAATTTTCGTAGTACAATTTCTTGTTATTCTGTACCTCATCGGGGTAAACTTTCCATGGGATGAAAGTACTAGATCGGATCTTTTTATTTTGGAGATCTTTATGCATTTCCATTTGTCTTGAATGCCATTGAAGATCACATATACAATTCTGCCTGGATTATATGGTACTTATAAATTATGATCCGAAACGAATTCGAATTCCGCAACGCCATTTGCAGGATTATGGGAATAGTAATAACAATAATAATAACGTTAAATGTTATGATAACAGTAATCATTAATATCTGTAGATTACATCTCCTGCAAAATATATACTCATTTCCTTTATTTGCTTATAAACAAAATTAATTATTTTTCAGAAATTGCTATCTATTATATGTCCCCTGCTATAAATCGCATGTAATTATATTTTCCACGTTATTAAAGCAAAAACAATGAATTATTATTTTCCCAATAATGTATGAAGAATAATTGGATGGATATCTATTATTTGATATAATAATCGAAACTATTGAATTCAGAGGCACAGTGGAATAGACTATGATCGTCGATAAGATAGTTTCATTGTCATCAATTATAATTATACGTAATAGCGAAAGTATCCTTTTTTATTCAGTTAAAAATCCTCTATCTTGTTTACTATTTCTCGTGAAGAGAAATTTCTTACTCACAACACTATTCAACTCAACTCATTACATATCTTTAAATTATTAGATTGTCTGGCGAATTCGAATCGATTTCAGACGCACAGCAGCGATTGCGATCTCGCGATAGCCGCGAGTTTCAATGAATTCGAATGGTCGTAGTTTAGCGAGTACGTTAACGACAAAAAATAGTAGGGGCTGAAAACGAGTTCACGAGGGTGGCGGTGGGTGAGCGGAGCGGCGAGTGGGTCGATGGGTGGTTGGACGGTAACGGTGGTGGTGGCAGTTTAGCTTCTGGCTCCTTTTTCCGATCATATCGGGAGTCAAACCTCGGCGACAGGGTGGGAAAAGTGGTGCAGGAGCATGCGCCGGGAAAGGGTAAACTTAGGCGCAGGTTCTAACCCCCTCGTGATCTCCCACTCCGGCTGCTTTCACGACGATCACACGACCCGACGTTTTTTCTACCTTTATCTTTGCTCGCTTCGCCGTCTCAAAAACCTGTATAGGCACTTTCATAGCTTGTGCCGCAAAGATGTCAACGGGGGATGATGCTTTTTTCTCTCTGTGTTCGAGAGGTGACGCTCTCGTGGTTGTCGACATGGACTTGCGTCTCGATTTTTTTTATTGCGCTTTTTTATGTTTAAAATTTAATCGCTGTTACCTCGAACTAGTGAAATGGGAAAACTATTATTTGATGTACATTTCACATTTTATTATTTCATTTCATCGTATATAAATCATGAATTACGATTTCACGTAAAGGTAATAAATTTTAATTTGTATCAGTTATATTTCTGATATTGCTTTTTGAAAGAGTGTCAGACAATGTGTTCAACTTAATCAGAAGATATTTCGTAACGTCTTCTCTCAGAATTTTGATTGCAATTTGTTCGCGTTATTTAATTGTTTATTAGCAACATGAGCACGAATATCTGCTGATATACCCGAAACATCACAACTTCAAGGCTCGCGATCAACCAATTTCATTAATATAACGGATTAATCAAGTTTTGAGAAAGTGAACGTGAGACACGTTCCTACGACACGGTAAGTAGATAGAATAATACAATCATTTCTTTAAATATGTACATATGTTGTCAATATGATTAATAAAGTTTATATTCATATCATGTTGTTACGACACGTTCGCGACGTAAGAATATAAACGCACGAGAGTAAGGTGGAAAGGGATTAAAACGAAGTTTTAAGTTATGTTTGCCACTTGATGCCATTCGAATGCAATTCTTAGGATCTCACGAAATAAGATCCAAGTTCTTTGCGTTGCGTTGAGCATGGCCATCTGCTGTGCATTACTTTCCTCTGGAAGTACACAAAGAAACGTTTCCTCGGGTAATGCAAAGCCTTTAATGTCTGTAATGGCACACTTTCCGTGAGGCATTTACACTTGTCTGCTTATTAAAAAGTAAAAGGAAGTTGAAGGAGACGATATTCCGCGCGCCGAAGAAATTAGCGTGAGTCTTTGAGGATAAAAAAAGGAACAAGTTAAACAGAAGTTCTATAGTGCATCTGAGAAGTTGCCTTAATTTTAAATCTGTTACACTTTTTCCTGTTAGAAAGTTCTATCGGTTTTGAACAAAAAGATCTTAGTATTTATCCTTTACAAATATTTAATCGTAGCTTGTTTTCATTTAATCTTGAATTGTCACACTTATTTCCAGTATCATCCCACTAGTGGAACAGCTCAGCTATACTGAAGAGAAAAAATTGTAAATTGATTTGAAGATTTATAGAGTAAATTTCAATTCTTATAGAATTAGAATTCATCTGCCCTCACATCTCATGTTTGAAAAATCTAATTACTAAATAAAATTAATTAATTTACTAAAAAGATCATAAGTTTTCTAATTATTATTATTTTAAACTAAAAAATTTGCATAGTTATTGTTGAGATTATGATACTTTAAGAGAAAGAATTATTCTTTAATTGTTTACAATATACTTTAAAGGTAAGAAATGGGTAATCTTTTAATAAAAAATGAAATATTTGCCTTCAAAGTGCGAACTAACAAATGTCCTCATGCCATCTGGTTTTTATATAAATTCTAAACATTATCGTGTAGATTTTTCAGACAAGTAATCAACGTAAACGGCAACTCTGTCATTAAAATATCACAAAAACGAGAAAGTGAATAGCCAACGTAGAATTCGTGATTCCTCCCACTTGAACTCGAAAACGACCCTGAATGATCCCGTCTCGTTCTGTCCCGTCTGGAGAGCCACTCCCCGAACCGTCGAAACATCAGGCCGACAAAAGAGGATAAGAAAAGAGAAGGATACGCGAGGCACGATACACCTGACGAAACGGTGGACGGTGGTCTCCTCTGTGACTGCGTCCCGCAGCGTGACCCATTGTTTCCTG